TCTAGTCTATAGTCTAGTCTATAGTCTAGTCTATAGTCTAGTCTATAGTCTAGTCTATAGTCTAGTCTATAGTCTAGTCTATAGTCTAGTCTATAGTCCTAGTCTATAGTCTAGTCTATAGTCTAGTCTATAGTCTAGTCTATAGTCTAGTCTATAGTCTAGTCTATAGTCTAGTCTATAGTCTAGTCTATAGTCTAGTCTATAGTCTAGTCTATAGTCTAGTCTATTAGTCTAGTCTATAGTCTAGTCTATAGTCTAGTCTATAGTCTAGTCTATAGTCTAGTCTATAGTCTAGTCTATAGTCTAGTCTATGTCTATAGTCTAGTCTATAGTCTAGTCTATAGTCTAGTCTATAGTCTAGTCTATAGTCTAGTCTCATAGTCTAGTCTATAGTCTAGTCTAGTCTAGTCTATAGTCTAGTCTATAGTCTAGTCTATAGTCTAGTCCATAGTCTAGTCTATAGTCTAGTCTATAGTCTAGTCCATAGTCTAGTCCATAGTCTAGTCTATAGTCTAGTCTATATCTAGTCCATAGTCTAGTCTATAGTCTAGTCTATAATCTAGTCTATAGTCGTTTATAGTCTAGTCTATAATCTAGTCTATAGTCTAGTCTATAGTCTAGTCTATAGTCTAGTCTATCGTCCAGTCTAGTCTATAGTCTAGTCTATAGTCTAGTCTATAGTCTAGTCTATAGTCTAGTCTATAGTCTAGTCTATAGTCTAGTCTATAGCTAGTCTATAGTCTAGTCTATAGTCTAGTCTATAGTCTAGTCTATAGTCTAGTCTATAGTCTAGTCTATAGTCTAGTCTATAGTCTAGGTCTATAGTCTAGTCTATAGTCTAGTCTATCGTCTAGTCTATAGTCTAGTCTAGTCTCGTTATAGTCTAGTTATAGTCTAGGGTTCCTCTAGTCTAGTCTAGTTCTATAGTCTAGTCTATAGTCTAGGCCCATAGTTCTAGTCTATAGTCTAGTCTATAGTCTAGTCCATGGTCTAGTCTATAGTTATAGTTTATAGTCTGCTTATAATCTAGTCTATAGTCTAGTCCATAGTCTAGTCTTCTAGGTCTATGTCTATCGTCCCAGTCTAGTCTATTAGTCTAACTTCTAGTCTAGTCTATAGTCTAGTCTATAGTCAGTCTATAGTCTAGTCTATAGTCTATAGTCTAGTCTATAGTCTAGTCTATAGTCTAGTTCTATAGTCTAGTCTATAGTCTAGTCTATAGTCTAGTATATAGTCTAGTCTTATAGTCTAGTCTATAGTCTAGTCTATGGACTATAATTTAGTAAGTATATAGTCTAAACTGTAGTCCATTCTATAGTCTAGTCTATAGTCTAGTCTATAGTCTAGTCTAAAATCTAGTCTATAATCTAGTCTATAGTCTAGTCTATAGTCTAGTCTATAGTCTAGTCTATAGTCTAGTCTATAGTCTAGTCTATAGTCTAGCCCATAGTCTAGTCTATAGTCTAGTCTCTAGTCTAGTCTCTAGTCTAGTCTATAGTCTAGTCTATAGTCTAGTCTATAGTCTAGTCTATAGTCTAGTCTATATTCTAGTTTATAGTCCAGTCTATAGTCTAGCCTATAGTCTAGTCTATATTCTAGTTTATAGTCCAGTCTATAGTCTAGTCTATAGTATAGTCTAGAGTTAATTCTAGTCTATAGTCTAGTCTATAGTCTAGTCTATAGTCTAGTCTATAGTCTAGTCTATAGTCTAGTCTATAGTCTAGTCTATAGTCTAGTCTATAGTCTAGTCTATAGTCTAGTCTATAGTCTAGTCTATAGTCTAGTCTATAGTCTAGTCTATAGTCTAGTCTATAGTCTAGTCTATAGTCTAGTCTATAGCCTAGTCTATAGTCTAGTCTATAGTCTAGTCTATAGTCTAGTCTATAGTCTAGTCTATAGTCTAGTCTATAGTCTAGTCTATAGTCTAGTCTATAGTCTAGTCTATAGTCTAGTCTATAGTCTAGTCTATAGTCTAGTCTATAGTCTAGTCTATAGTCTAGTCTATAGTCTAGTCTATAGTCTAGTCTATAGTCTAGTCTATAGTCTAGTCTATAGTCTAGTCTATAGTCTATAGTCTAGTCTATAGTCTAGTCTATAGTCTAGTCTATAGTCTAGTCTATAGTCTAGTCTATAGTCTAGTCTATAGTCTAGTCTATAGTCTAGTCTAGTCTATAGTCTAGTCTATAGTCTAGTCTATAGTCTAGTCTATAGTCTAGTCTATAGTCTAGTCTATAGTCTAGTCTAGTCTATAGTCTAGTCTATAGTCTAGTCTATAGTAGTCATAGTCTAGTCCATAGTCTAGTCTATAGTCTAGTCTATAGTCTAGTCCATAGTCTAGTCTATAGTCTAGTCTATAATCTAGTCTATAGTCTAGTTTATAGTCTAGTCTATAATCTAGTCTATAGTCTAGTCCATAGTCTAGTCTATAGTCTAGTCTATCGTCCAGTCTAGTCTATAGTCTAGTCTATAGTCTAGTCTATAGTCTAGTCTATAGTCTAGTCTATAGTCTAGGTCTATAGTCTAGTCTATAGTCTAGTCTATAGTCTAGTCTATAGTCTAGTCTATAGTCTAGTCTATAGTCTAGTCTATAGTCTAGTCTATAGCCTAGTCTATAGTCTAGTCTATAGTCTAGTCTATAGTCTAGTCTATAGTCTAGTCTATAGTCTAGTCTATAGTCTAGTCTATAGTCTAGTCTATAGTCTAGTCTATAGTCTAGTCTATAGTCTAGTCTATAGTCTAGTCTATAGTCTAGTCTATAGTCTAGTCTAGTCTATAGTCTAGTCTATAGTCTAGTCTATAGTCTAGTCTATAGTCTAGTCTAGTCTATAGTCTAGTCTATAGTCTAGCCCATAGTCTAGTCTATAGTCTAGTCTATAGTCTAGTCCATAGTCTAGTCCATAGTCTAGTCTATAGTCTAGTCTATAGTCTAGTCCATAGTCTAGTCTATAGTCTAGTTATAGTCTAGTCTATAATCTAGTACTATAGTCTAGTCCATAGTCTAGTCTATAGTCTAGTCTATCGTCCAGTCTAGTCTATAGTCTAGTCTATAGTCTAGTCTATAGTCAAGTCTATAGTCTAGTCTATAGTCTAGTCTATAGTCTAGTCTATAGTCTAGTCTATAGTCTAGTCTATAGTCTAGTATATAGTCTAGTCTATAGTCTAGTCTATAGTCTAGTCTATGGACTATAATTTAGTAAGTATATAGTCTAAACTGTAGTCCATTCTATAGTCTAGTCTATAGTCTAGTCTATACTCTAGTCTAAAATCTAGTCTATAATCTAGTCTATAGTCTAGTCTATAGTCTAGTCTATAGTCTAGTCTATAGTCTAGTCTATAGTCTAGTCTATAGTCTAGTCTAGTCTATAGTCTAGTCTATATTCTAGTCTATAGTCTAGTCTATAGTTTACTCTATAGTCTAGTCTATAGTCTAGTCTATAGTCTAGTCCATAGTCTAGTCTATAGTCTAGTCTATAGTCTAGCCCATAGTCTAGTCTATAGTCTAGTCTCTAGTCTAGTCTCTAGTCTAGTCTATAGTCTAGTCTATAGTCTAGTCTATAGTCTAGTCTATAGTCTAGTCTATATTCTAGTTTATAGTCCAGTCTATAGTCTAGTCTATAGTCTAGTCTATATTCTAGTTTATAGTCCAGTCTATAGTCTAGTCTATAGTATAGTCTAGAGTTAATTCTAGTCTATAGTCTAGTCTATAGTCCAGTCTGTAGTCCAGTCTATAGTCGAGTATACAATCTAGCCTAAGGTCTAGTCTATAGTCTAGTCTAGTAAGAAGAAGTTAAAACAACTACAGTGTCAAAGGACATATTTGTACATTATTATAAGGAGAATATCGGAAAATTTTGCACATAGTCGTAAGCTTCTCGAAAGCTTGGTGGTGTAATGAATACCTTTGCAATTAAGTTAAAAAATGTGTGATTTGAAATCCAAGAAATCTTATTTACATTTTAGTATTGCTTCAGTTTTGATGGCAAAACTCATAACTTCTTTATAGTTTTGTTTTAAAGTATATTGAACTCTATTTAGAAGTCTGCATTTTATCTTAATGTTTCAGGCCTAGAAACAAAAATATCTACAGAATTTATTTCATCATGTTTTTATGATTAATTTTTAAAGCAAATACAAGCAAATATTTAAATTTACATATTTTTGCATTAATTTTGCAAACTGGTTTAAATGAGAACACGAGCTAGAGAATACAACATTTATAAATATTTAAACTATTCCATAGTAAGTATATACAAAATCTGAAAACATGCGAAAACACTTTACACAGATCTTTGTTAATTAATTTCCATTAATCGTAGTAAAAGTAACTTAATATGGTGATACAAATGACTTGAATGACAAAACAAGAAAAAGCTTTAGAAAACGATATTGGAAAGTATTTGAATAAATGTTTTTATGGAGATCTTAACAAAAATAACTTTTGTCGAAAGTTGTAGTTTAAAGTTTTGAATGAAATCGGTTTATAATGATTGATAAGGGACAATTATAGAGCAATTCACAGTTACTTTACCGATAATTTTTATTCAGGTGTAATTGATTTCGATTCTTACATTTGTAGGAATTCTGCATGCGATGTAAATAATTCCAGAATAGATCAGCTATAAACCCATTATCACAGGGATTTAAAATCTTTCTAACTTTTTTTGAATATTAAGTTTTGAATAGATCTTACCTGCAATGAAAAGAAATATATTTTTCAATTAGTTTAATTATTTAAAATTCATTTTAGTTAATAAATTATCTAAAAAATATTAAATTAATTTTAAAAAATTCTTAAAATCTGTTATAATTAATTATATTTTATTCTCTCCTTCTCTTTTTAGATTTCTCTCTGTGAGATTATATTCTACAATGGTCAAACGTAAAAAGCTGTAAAAGCTCAAAAGAAAATAAACTTTGATTCCCTACAAAAACAACAAAATAACGAAATCCTAAAAAACCCAGAATAGGCTTCCCGACCGAAAACAACAACATAAACTAACATGGTGCTAAATCTACTCTTTATAACGACTGTGATAAAATCCACCTTTGGTGTGGTAACTACGGGCCTCTGGCTTATTCCCCTAATACTGGCCGCCATTACCTATTACAAATACGATAATGTGGATCCAGAATCGAGAGTTTTCGATCAAACGAATATATACAGGGAATATGATTTTATAGTGGTGGGTGCTGGTTCCGCGGGAGCAGTGGTGGCCAATCGTTTAAGTGAAGTGCGCAAATGGAAGGTTTTACTTATAGAAGCTGGACCCGATGAAAATGAAATATCAGATGTGCCCTCACTGGCCGCTTATTTGCAGTTGAGCAAATTGGATTGGCAGTATAAAACGGAACCCTCGAATAAGGCCTGTTTGGGCATGAAAAATAATCGCTGTAATTGGCCGCGTGGCAAGGTATTGGGTGGTTCCAGTGTCTTAAACTATATGCTGTATGTCAGAGGCAATCGTCATGACTATGATCACTGGGAGTCGTTGGGTAATCCCGGTTGGGGTTATGATAGCATTTTGAAATACTTTAAGAAATCCGAAGATAACCGCAATCCCTATTTGAATAAGAATCCTTATCATGGCAAGGGTGGCCTCTTAACTGTGCAGGAATCACCCTGGCATTCGCCTTTGGTGGCGGCTTTTGTAGAGGCTGGCACTGAGATAGGTTATGAAAATCGTGATATTAATGGTGAAATACAAACCGGTTTTATGATAGCCCAGGGTACCATACGTAGAGGTTCACGCTGTAGTACCGCCAAGGCTTTCTTAAGGCCCATTAGAAATCGTCCCAATTTTCATTTATCCATGAATTCTCAAGTTACCAAGCTGTTGATAGAACCCGGTACTATGAGGGCCAAGGGAGTAGAATTTGTTAAGAATGGTCAAGTTATGAAAGTGTACGCCAAAAGAGAAATCATTTTATCAGCTGGTGCCATTAATACGCCTCAGATAATGATGTTATCGGGTATAGGACCACGTTCCCATTTGGAACAACATGGCATTAAGGTTTTACAAGATTTACCGGTAGGGGAAAATCTACAAGATCATGTGGGTATGGGAGGTTTATCTTTCCTGGTCGATAAGCCCGTTTCTATAGTACAGGATCGTTTTAATCCCACCGCTGTAACTTTCCAATATGTCTTAAGAGAACGGGGACCCATGACTACTCTGGGAGGTGTAGAAGGTTTAGCTTTTGTGCACACACCCTATTCTAATAGATCTATAGATTGGCCTGATATACAATTTCACATGGCTCCTGCTTCGATTAATTCAGATAATGGCGCTCGTGTTAAAAAGGTATTGGGTTTAAAGGAATCGGTTTATCAAGAAGTTTACCAACCCATAGCTAATAAGGACACTTGGACTATAATGCCTTTACTGTTAAGACCCCGTTCTAGAGGTTGGGTTAAGCTAAGATCAGCCAATCCTTTTGAGTATCCCAAAATCAATGCCAATTACTTTGATGATCCTTTTGATGCCAAGACCTTGGTGGAGGGAGCCAAAATTGCTTTGCGTGTGGCCGAGGCCAAAGTTTTCAAACAGTTTGGTTCTCGTTTATGGCAAAAAGCATTACCCAATTGCAAGAAATTTAAATTTCTCTCCGATGATTATTTAGATTGTCATGCCCGTACTATATCCATGACTATATATCATCCCTGTGGTACAGCTAAAATGGGTCCTGCATGGGATCCTGAAGCCGTAGTAGATCCTAGATTAAGAGTTTATGGTGTTAGAGGTTTAAGAGTTATAGATGCCAGCATAATGCCCACCATTAGTAGTGGCAACACTAATGCCCCTGTCATAATGATTGCTGAAAAGGGAGCCGATCTAATTAAAGAAGATTGGTTCCATAATCCCGAATACAAAATCGTAAATAAAAGTTAGCGCAGCTTAATAACTCATAAATAAATTAAACTATGTTTCAGAGTATAGTTCTCGAGACCTCCAAATATTTGATTACTGTCATTAACCAAAGGTTGTCCACTTGTTATTAATTATATATTGTCATTATTACTATTACAAATTGTTGTAATAGCATTTTTCACATTCAGGGGGCATTAGCTTTACAAAAACAACTATATAAACGAGTAAAAAAAACTCAGAGTTGCCATTGTGTCATAAATAAGTTTTTGTTTAAAAATTTTTTTAAAATTAGTTTTTACTATTATTTGTATAATTTAGTAATAGTTTTCGATTAGTCATTTTGTTTATTCGCTTTTTTCCAGTTTTACGAGCCACTTATGACGTTATTTTTTATTATTATTTTATTTATTTTTAAGTAGCGAATTATATGTATGTGTTAATTTTAATTGCAATTATTTTAGTTATAATTTATTTATGTTTATTTTTTTATTTACATTTATAGTTGTTAACTACTTTGTATTTACTTGCAAATATAATTGTTTAGTTATTTTATTATTAATGTAGAAAATAACTTTAATATTTAAATAAATAAAATTGTTATAAAAATTGTAAGAAAAATTATGCATTTTTTATAATTGGCATGACTATTGGTAGGTAATTTTATTTTATAAAAAAAATATATTTGCATTTTTCAATATTCAACGAGTTCTATTTTTCTATAATTATTGATACCCAAATTATGCAAAATGTTGTCACTATCGTCTAATTGCACCTGTTTGAAAGCAATAATCAATTTCGCAAACTAGTTATAGTTTGGTCCCGTTTAACAAAAATTAAACAGACGATTCCAAACCTCGTACTTCTTACATAAACTATAGAATTATATAATTAATTGAATATTTCTTCGGGCTTGAGTTCGAGTCTCACTTGGGGAATATTTTTCTCAGTAAAATAGTATAATAACGATCCAAAATAACAAAAGGAACGAAAGTTGGTAACGGCTTCATTTAAGAATTTGGGCCTAAAATCTCTTTTAGACTCAAAGATAACTGTGGTATCCTTCAGCGATCAATATGGCGTTAAATTGACTAAAGTACTATCGGATATCGAACAAGGATATAAGAACTTATACTGATAGTCTAGCTGCTATTAAATCCCTGATTGGTGTGTTCTCCAAATCTAAACTTGTCCTTGAATGTAGGCCTTGAAATTTGGCAACCATGCTAGGAATATTGCTCTTCCATACAATTACTTCTGCAGAAGTTATCAGAATGAGGTTAAAGAGAAGACGGCAGACCATCTTCTGTGTAACGATTCGGATCAATGACTTCGGCAGAAGTTGTCAGAATGAGGATGAGGAGACGATAGCACATCGTCTATGTAACTATCCAGTCCTGCAGACGGCTCAAAACCGAACTCAATGGTTAACCTCCTTAAACGACCTTTCTGATTTCTGAGATGTTCTTTCAACACGACTCTTTGCATTCTTGAATATGTCAAAATCGGTGTGAAATTCGAATTCTCACTAGACGACATCGTTCCTATTCAACGACATCGGTTCTAAGAAGCCTTTACGAATTTCTATCAAGGTCAAAAAGTTCATTCGTCGATCGTGTTCGATACCTTAACAGGGGTATATGAATATTCGTTTGAATTGTTTCATCTAAGGACAATCCATAAATTGTCCTTAGATGACAATTATCTAAACTATACCATCTTATCGAGGTGATCGAAATTTTATATCTTTTGGTTAAGAGTACCAATTCCCAGAGACGGTTTTTAAGTTATTTAATTAGTTAGTTAATTAGTTAGTTGGTTGGTTAGTTAGTTAGTTAGTTAGTAGTTAGTTAGTTAGTTAGTTAGTTAGTTAGTTAGTTAGTTAGTTAGTTAGTTAGTTAGTTAGTTAGTTAGTTAGTTAGTTAGTTAGTTAGTTAGTTAGTTAGTTAGTTAGTTAGTTAGTTAGTTAGTTAGTTAGTTAGTTAGTTAGTTAGTAGTTAGTTAGTTAGTTAGTTAGTTAGTTAGTTAGTTAGTTAGTTAGTTAGTAGTTAGTTAGTTAGTTAGTTAGTTAGTTAGTTAGTTAGTTAGTTAGTTAGTTAGTTAGTTAGTTAGTTAGTTAGTTAGTTAGTTAGTTAGTTAGTTAGTTAGTTAGTTAGTTAGTTAGTTAGTTAGTTAGTTAGTTAGTTAGTTAGTTAGTTAGTTAGTTAGTTAGTTAGTTAGTTAGTTAGTTAGTTAGTTAGTTAGTTAGTTAGTTAGTTAGTTAGTTAGTTAGTTAGTTAGTTAGTTAGTTAGTTAGTTAGTTAGTTAGTTAGTTAGTTAGTTAGTTAGTTAGTTAGTTAGTTAGTTAGTTAGTTAGTTAGTTAGTTAGTTAGTTAGTTAGTTAGTTAGTACGCCTATCGGCCTACTTGTGCACTCTTTTAACAGTGCCTCAGGTTGCAATCGAACTCACGACCTCCGGTCTACCACACTAGAACACTAACCTCATCAAAACTTGTACTTTGATTTTAAAACTTAATAAATATTTCCATTAATATCTGACCAAATTTTATATAAATTTACATTATCAACAATAAATGACTTCTACAAGTTATAATTTCTCTTAATCATTAATTCTAAAACAAATTAAAATAAAAATTCCAATAATTATTTCATTTACTCACAAATAGTTAAATCAATTATAGTTGAAATAACAAGTACTAGACCACTAACTTCCTAAATTATAAGATGTTATTGCTGAAAAAATTCTTATGATTTTCAAAAAATTATTCATAAAAAATAAATGAACATGAAATTAAAACAAGAATTGCATACTCATGTCTAATAAGCAAAAAATACCAAAATACAAATATTAGCTGAATTATTTAATATATTTTTTTTTATAAAAAAAATCAAATAAACTTCCTTGTTAAGATCCCAAATAATGACATTTTAAAATAGACATGCGTATAACTTTTTAAAATTTTAAACAATTTTATAAACCATGCATAACTTTATTATTGTTTATTTGTTTAATAGCTATTATCTTGTAGTGTTTGTTAAAAAACACATTGTTTAATTAGACAAAGAAAAAAATAAACAACCCAGACTCCTAAACTTAACTCAAGAGTAAGTTTAAATAATAAAAAAATCAATCACCATATATTTCCATAACAATGGCTTGTTTTGATCTATTCAATAGTTTAATGACTTTTTAATCTTTTATAAAAAATCTTTCACATGATATTTATTTGTACATTTATCGTAATTAAATAATTAAAATATCTATAATTATTTAGGTGGTAAAATAAATATAATTCTATTATATCGAGGGTGTTAATATCTGTCATGTTTACTAACCATCTTAAAGTGTTTTAATTATTATTTTTTTTTTTTTCAATTTAACTTCTTTGTGTATAGTTTTTTTATTAATTTATAGAAAAAGGAGGAAGATTCATAAAATTTGAGAAAAAAGTAAAAGAAGAAGAAGAAGATTAACTCGGAAAAGAGAGAAGGGACACGACAAGGGAGACGGCAAGAGAGAGGAGAGAAAGAAGAGGCGACGCGGGAGGACAGAAGCAGGCAAGGGGCGAGGAAAGGCCGACAAGAAACGAACGAACGAACGAACGAACAACGAACTAACGAACGAACGAACGAACGAACGAACGAACGAAGAACGAAACGAACGAACGAACGAACGAACGAACGAACGAACGAACGAACGAACGAACGAACGAAAGAACGAACGAACGAACGAACGAACGAACGAACGAACAAACGAACGAACGAACGAACGAACAAACGAACGAACGAAGAACGAACGAACGAACGAACGAAGAACGAACGAACGAACGAACGAACGAACGAACGAACGAAAACGAACGAACGAAACGAACGAACGAACGAACGAAACGAACGAACGAAAACGAACGAACGAACGAACGAACGAACAAGAACGAACGAACGAACGAACGAACGAACGAACGAACGAAACGAACGAACGAACGAACTAACGAACGAACGAACGAACGAACGAACGAACGAACGAACGAACGAACGAACGAACGAACGAACGAACGAACGAACGAACGAACGAACGAACGAACGAACGAACGGAACGAACGAACGAACGAACGAACGAACGAACGAACGAACGAACGAACGAACGAACGAACGAACGAACGAACGAACGAACGAACGAACGAACGAACGAACGAACGAACGAACGAACGAACGAACGAACGAACGAACGAACGAACGAACGAACGAACGAAACGAACGAACGAACGAACGAAGAACGAAAGAACGAACGAACGAACGAACGAACGAACGAACGAACGAACGAACAACGAACGAACGAACGAACGAAACGAACGAAAACGAACGAACGAAAACGAAACGAAACGAAACGAACGAACGAACGAACGAACGAAAACGAAACGAACGAAACGAACGAACGAAGAACGAACGAACGAACGAACGAACAACGAAAACGAACGAACGAACGAACGAAAACGAACGAACGAAAAACGAACGAACGAACGAACGAACGAACGAAGAAACGAACGAACGAACGAACGAACGAACGAACGAACGAACGAACGAACGAAGAACGAACAACAGAACGAACGAACGAAAAAACGAAAAACGAACGAAACAACGAACAACGAACGAAAACGAACGAACGAACGAAAGAACGAACGAACGAAACGAACGAACGAAAGAACGAACGAACGAACGAACGAACGAACGAACGAACGAACGAACGAAAACGAACGAACGAACGAACGAAGAACGAACGAACAACGAACGAACGAACGAACGAACGAACGAACGAACGAAACGAACGAACGAACGAAACGAACGAACGAAACGAACGAACGAACGAACGAACGAAACGAACGAACGAACGAACGAACGAACGAACGAACGAACGAACGAACGAACGAACGAACGAAACGAACGAAAAACGAACGAACGAACGAACGAACGAACGAACGAACGAACGAACGAACGAACGAAAACGAACGAACGAACGAACGAACGAACGAACGAACGAACGAACGAACGAACGAACGAAACGAACGAACGAACGAACGAACGAACGAACGAACGAACGAAACGAACGAACGAACGAACGAACGAAAGAACGAAAGACCGAACTAACGAACGAACGAACGAACAAAACGAACGAACGAACGAACGAACGAACGAACGAACGAACGAAAGAAAGAACTAAACG